GTACTTGTGTACGTGTGTAGAGAAAAACGAACGATGTGTTTGCTGCGCGTGAGAAAGAGAAGTAAAATGATGTTTACGACTAATCACGGGGTACCCGACGAAACTCGAAGTGCGACATTTCGGGACGGCGATGTACGGCGATTGGATACCTTATTTTACTTAACCGTAGGTGGATTCACATCTCAACGTGGTGTTCGTACACACCCTTATTTAGCTCTAGATGCTTCGCAACCTTTCAAGGGCTCTTTGTCTTTTCTCGTATTTCGATGGGTTCCTGCGATAAATAATGTCTTGTGCATTTTAAACGATTACCAGTATATTTCACGATCACACAATTGAGTTTAAGGCTGTGCTGTCTGTCTATCTGCCAACCTACTAATTGTTGTTTTGTCTTTTCATTCCTTACGATGATGTAGTCAACAACCAACATTCTCATTTCTACGCCATAATCATAATACCACGCCACATCATTATCTAATTGGGTTTATACCCGATGGTCCATTTTGTTTTGATACTTATTTGTGTCATATAGAAACTAAGACAACAGTACATAGTTCAGTAAAATTATATGTCGCTGTTGTAACTTCTATGTAACGCATTTACTCTATCATTTGTTTTGCTCGTTTCATTATTTTTTGGCTATGGCCCTGCGGTGCTGAGTCAATATGTGAGTGACTGGCTGTGTTCATTTTGTTCCACCAACTGGAACGCTGTCGAACACTCAGAGGTCAAATGAAGGTTTAAATATTTGTGCAGCCTTTTTTATTTTTCTGTCGCTTATTTTTTTTAATTACTATAGACATTTGCAAAGTTGCATCATTTATTTTGAAGAAAACAGATTTTTTTATACAATTACAAAATTGAAGTGCCTTTGAGACATTCAGGAAAAAAAATAGTACTTATTCATTTTTAATCATTATTTATTTCTATGTGTATTTGTTATTATTCTTCGCTGGGGCCATAGAATTTCTATTATTTTTAAAATAATTATAGGAATCTGAACAATTTAGATTCACAATAAAATAAATGATCAATTTATTTTTTATTAAGTTAATAGATGCTCTATTTTCCTCTTCTTGCCATTTCACATTCGTGACCGAATAAATATTTCCGTGAAAACAGAAATTGCAAGAATGGAGAGAAAAATGTAAATGATTATAAATGTATTTTTTAAATTTTATTTGTATTTTTGAAAAGCATTTGTTTTTTTCAGTAATATTTTACATTGAAATCAGGTGTTTCAATCTTATTGTTTATTTTTGAAATATTGCATGCCCAATAATTACATCCGAATAGAGATTATTGACATTAATTAAGCAAAAAATAAACACTTTTAAATAACTTCAAAGGGGGGGGCGTTCATCAACCAATTTGCAATGAGATAAAGTTGACAGTTTTTGTCGTGACGTGATCGCTGTAAACGAGGTCCGTAATGAAATTAGGTACATAGGTTGCGTTACGGTTGGGTTGCAATCACAGTTAATATAAAAAAAGCGCCACAGTCTAATTATCGTACTCTATTATTTAATAATACATAGTGCAGTTTACTAAAATATTGTAATATACGGGTGGCTGCGAGATTAAATTGTGAATTACTCTGAAAATTTAAATTCGATATGAGAGTAAGAAGATTTATTTAAAAAAATCTGCAATAATAGCCAATCGGTTAACGTGTTGCTTTCAAATTAAAAGGTAACGAGTTCGGTCTCACTAGGAGCAAATTGACGAACTGCTTCTTAGATTGAGTCAAATGCTGATCCATTTGCTCTGTGCGCGCATCCAGAATCTGTCAACGCATTGGCGATGATAATGATGACGTCCACAGTCCCCCAGACTGTACTGGACCAATACACAGGACCTAAAACTAAAAGCCGTCGGTCTGAAATGCAAGATTGGGAGATTACTCTTTGACGATGTTTCGTCTAAAGAGAAGTGTCAAGAATCAAATTCGTGCCCTTTTTTTGTACGTAATACTTAAAAAGATAGAATGGCTGTAAATAGTTCTCTCGGTTTAATATGAGCGGTCGCAGTAATACGGTTACCACGAAAAGCAAAAGTATCGGGAAGGGAGAAAAGCGATGCGGAGCCCTAACATAGATTGCGTCAGTGGGCCCTTTCAAATCGTCGCGACCTTCGATTTCCTCCAATAACTTACTCCAGTGCTCTCACAGAAGTACGAGATGGACCTCGGGTTTCGCGCAAATCGCATTGACGCAGGTTTCGGGCTTATCGAGCTATTCACAAGATGAGTAAGCGCATCGGGCTGTTCTCCCGGCTGGAGTGTGACCGCTGTGATACAACGTCGGACTTCACAACAGGCTCATGCGGCGCAGTAATATCAATTACTGCCCATTAGCGCTTGGTTGATTTTATTCGAGCCGTATTATTGGGGTAAATAATTATAGTAAAAGAGTTCGAGTGGGTTATACCTGCGACGCGTGTAATAATAAATTTTTATAAATTATGATAATGAGTGAAGATATATTCAATCCACGAATCGTAAAGTCGTATACGAAAGTCTATATCCATATGTCAAAAACTTTAAGAATTAGAAAAAATCAAATGATTAGCCTAAACGATACTAAAAAAGACGATCGGTGATATATTAGATGGCGACATTAAAATATAATTAAAAAGTGACGTTAAATTAAGAATCGATTAAGTCATGTAGGAAGTATATGACATATCTCTAATTAATTTTGTAAGCAACTGATTTGAAGGACTTGTGCTAAAGCTAATTTTTTAAAAAAATGGGCCTATCATTTTTGAAACCTTATTTCAAAAATCGATCTAGCTAAAAATTTAAGTCACCCCGGTTTAATATTGCATGCCTTAAGCGCGAGCGTAGGTATGCTTCTACTGTCGCCTGAAAATCTCGTGTAATCCCGACAACTAAAAAACTATTTAACTATTAAACTTAATTTCTTTTTCAATCTCATCACTAATCGCTTGGGAATAACTGTATTGAAAATCATAGCTTGATGTAGTACCGATTAGCTCTAATTGAATTTTTTAACTCGCGTTATTCATGTTTTGAACTGTCATTTCGCTTAAATATCTGAAATGAAGATTGAAATGAATGTTTTATGTTTTTATAATTGCCAACAGATAGCGGTAATAATATAAAAAATAAAACAACTAATTTCGCCCGAGGATCAGCTGTACGATTTAGTTCAACTAAACTTAGCTTTAAGTCGGGCGCGCAGGGTGCCGGGTTCAAATCTGTCTTAGAAATTGTTTTTATAATTTATTTTTTAAATTCATTTTTTATTAATTTCAAACGTTTTAATTAATTCCAAAGTTATTATTCATGTAATGAGTAATACGTTTATATCAACAACAATTATTGTATAATAATTTTAATTAGTGACTTCGGGAAAGTTTTAAAGAACTTAAAAAAAGGATTTTTAGTGAAAAGCTCATATATTATTAACCTTTAATTTAAATAACATAGGTATGTCACGAGCGCTTAAGGCATGCACATTTGGCTTAACCAAATTCCTTAATAATGTGTACAAAGACCTAAACGACATTTTTTATCCAATTAATGAGTTAAAAACTATATGTAAGGGTTATAAATAAATTTTGGGTTTTATAGTCATATTTGGCATCATCGGCAATCGGTTTGACCTAAATTTGTACTTTTTATGGTGTCAAATGTTTCTCAGAGATAGTTATTTATCCATAATAAGGGACATTAAAAATGTGCCAATTACCTTGAAAAATTATTAAAGGAAAAACAATTCACAGATTTCATGCTCTCCTTAAATTTATATAAATGAAAGCAATTCTCTCAGAAAACAATTTGACAAACAAAAATCTTTAGTAAAATTGCACTATATTCAAGTAATAAAATGAATATTAAAAATAAGTTATATTAGGGTAAGAAAAGGCTGTCTAATGTCCGTGGCTATTCAAGTACTTCACAGCCCGTTTAATCATTCTCCCGCACGAATAGCAATTGCGGTGGACATTTATCTGATGGCTCGAGTAGGTTTCGCATTATCTGATTAAATAAGCGAGCATTTCATCTCATTTTAATGGCTACGTTTTACCGATACAATAGTAATAAACACCGACTACTATCCAAACGCTGTTCTGAATTAACTAAACTGTATTAAAAATAAAATAAAAATAGTCGTATAACTGTGAACTAACTAAACACTGTTGGGCATGTGTTTATTTTGCGATCAGTGATACACTATTAGGTCAACGCACTAAGAATTTGAAAAATTAGAAAACATGCATGAGCTGGAAATATAAAATATTACATCTATATGTGAAACATACTGATGGTAAGCCATATTCGCCATAAAGGTGTTATTGTGGGTTCATGGCGGCTTAGTAGACGGAGACGCCGGAAATAATCGTGAAAAATCTGGCACAAAAATTTTTACTCGAGTATTATGTGTTTGGCATAAAATGTTACTTTGACATTTATTGAAGATTCTTCCGAGCGGATTTTAAATCTTTTCTAAGCATTGTTCTAAGAAAATTCGCTGTCGAGAAAGAAAAATACATTTCAAAAACCCACAAGCAGAAACAACATAATTATTCAAATGTTTATTGTAATACGAAAAGTAGCAAAATAAATTTGTTTAACGGCTCATGACAAGCGCAGAAACAGCTCTATGTCACACACAATATGATGTGTGTGCATTGCAACATCGCGCATGCGGATGACTACATATTTTAAATTAGATGCAGTTTTGGATTCTAGTCCTTAAGAATCCATTTTCATGCCTAGCTAGCGGTACAAAAATTATATGTGGAGCGAAATGGAACAGAACAAAATCGCAAAAACGACAGATTCGCGCATCTTAACTCATATATTTTGGTGATTAAACCTTAAAAATCGATTTTCATATACGGTCTCCGGTATGAAAATTTTAATAAGAATGAAATTCAAATGAGCGCTAACTCAATAACGTTATTTTATTTTATATCCTTATTCATAATATTGATTAATTTTCTAGATGTGGTCAAATACATCTAGAAAGTCCTCGGTAATATGGTGGTCAGTATTTCCGCCTATCACGCGGGAAATCCGGTTCGATTCCTCGTCGGAGAAGTTTCTTCTTTTATTTGGATCTATTAATATTTAATATTATTATTAATAATAATGATAAGTAGAAATGGGAATAAAAAAATACGTAGATAACTTCAGTATTATGAGAGATGCATTCATTTGTTTATCTTCGTTGACAGTTGCATATTCTAACACAATTGTACTTAAAAAGTAAACTCCAGTCGTATGTCAGAGTTGATACATACCACTTTTTCCTTTGGTTGCTAATTTATATAAGTTTTATTTTTAAAGCAGATAAGCTTTCAAAGCTTATAGTGTTAAACGGCATTGCCATTGTTACCGATAGTTTAATTTACTGTGGTCAGGAGTGAGCTTACGGTTTTCAAGCACCTTATTCAGTGATATTTTTACGAGTCTTCATCTACTAGCTATGCGGTGCCCACAAATAAACAGGCGATAGAAGTATCCTTTATAAGTTTTTGAATTAGTAATACTACACATTTTATTAAGAAAATAATCGCGACTAAAACGTTTAACTAGAAAAATTTCTAGCATAACAAAGAACAAAAATATGTTCACAAATCTAGACCAGCGGAGTACACTCCAGTCGCGCGTTAAAGCTGATACGCACTCTTAATATACATACATATTGGGTATATACAAAATAATAATTTTAAAAGTAACTTATGGTTTTCCAATCACAATCGTTTTGAAACTCTATTCTTTTTGTTTACGACCATTAGCACAGGCCGTATCGTCAGGCCCGGTAGGAAATAAACTGTTTTTATTTAGTTTTCTAATAACTCGTTGTAAGTAGCATTCAAAAGTAACTGACACATTTAAAGGTAAAATGTCGAGAAAACGAATAAGCAGGATGCTGAAAACGATTGATTCAACGAGCCCAGGTGGGACACGATCGACAACTGTATTTAACAAGCTTTAGTTTAGGATGCATTGTCTTTCAAATCACTCATCCGTAAACTATTCCGTTAAGTCATCGTTTGAAACGTACTTAAGTTCACCAACTGCCCTTCGTGAAGGGAGCGCATCCCCTAACCAAAACGACTATAAGTTCGGAACTTATATTTCAGGAACTATTTTCAGATTATAAGATCTCTTGTTGTTAATAGAATCTATATATATATATATATATATATATATATATATATACATATTAGGATAAGCAGTTAGCGATTCCAGTAAAGGCTCTCTCGACTCTATAACACTGGCGCTTGGCAGTTACATTGAATATTCTAATGGTACGGCAACAGGAAGGTGAAGAACGCCCGTGGGTATAGATTGTGTACCGTCAGACAAATATATGAATTATAAAATCAGGAACGGCTCGAGGGACGCGCGACTGTGGGACTTCCGTCAAATTACGATATTCATGTTTATCCCATGATCGCGCGAAGGTGTCCTCACGGCCGAGTCCTCGCACCGGATATTTACTTATGCATGCGATATCTCGCAACCGGTGTTTATGTGTATCAAAGACGTCGCTCGCTCGCGGAACGGCCGATAATAAAAGGAAATCAAAGCTATTGTGCCTTTTATTGGCGATAAATTTATTTTAGTGCGGCCTTAGGTGGGCGCGCGTGTTGTTACGGAATCTCTTCGTTCGTCGAGAACTCGTACCTTTAAGAGCGCAGTCCTCGGTGAACACGAAACCGAGACGGATGGTATGGGGCTGTCTTAAAGCATTTTTATCATTTTTGAGATTTGCATATTTATTTTTGAAAAATTGACTTTTTCAAAATTAGTGAAAATCACTTGTAAAATGAAAGTAATTTTGGAAATCGTTGTGTTTCGTACTTCGAATAATAAATAATACCATATGCTTGAACTTTTGATTGTTCGATCATTTGCATTGAGGCACACGTTAATGCTATTTCACATAACAGCACTAGATGGCGTATATCACATTAGCTATTTGATATTTCGAAGAAAGATTTGTCATTTCAAGTAAATTTTTACTTAATTGGGTATATACAAAATAATTATTTCAAAGGCAGCTTTTGGTTTTGACCATACCTGTTTTGAAACACTGTTCTTTTTGTTTACGATCATTAGTACAGGCCGTATCGTCAGGTCCGATAGGAAATAAACTGCTTTTATTTAGTTTTCTAATAATTAGTTGCAAATAGCATTAAAAAATAACTGACACATCTAAAGGTAAAATGTCGAGAAAACGAATAAGTAGGATGCTGAAAACGATTGATTCAATGAGCCCAGGTGGGACATGATCGACAACTGTATTTAACAAGCTTTGGTTTAGGATGCATTGTCTTTCAAATCACTAATCTGTAGACCATTACGTTAAGTCATCGTTCGAAAAGTACTTAAGTTCACCAACTGCCCTTCGTGAAGAAAGCGCATCCTCTGACCAAAACGACTATAAGTTCAGAATTTATATTTCAGGAACTATGTTCAGATTATAAGATGTCTTGTTTTTAATCAAATCTATGATAAAACTTTAGGTTCCTTCCTACTAAAATCATCTTTATTATCTTTATTTAATTAAAACAGAGAAACCATTCTCTGTTTTGATTAAATAAACAAACCACACGATCACACCAGTGATTTGAAAGAGGATGTACTAATTAGAGTATAACAATGTATTTGAATGTAACATGGCCATCTGTAAAGGATGAATAGACTGAGTGATGAAATAGAATAGAAAGGATGAGTAGACTGATGAAGCAAACCTATACAGCAAATATATATAGACAAAAGGTCGGCAAGAGGTACTCGACGCCTTAGAAGATTTTTAATAAAGTAAATATAGAGCATATTACAAAAGGGATGTACTTTAAGCACCTAAAACCAATGAGCTTGTCTGAAGTGGTCGATGGATGTTAAACAAGCGAGAGAGGTGTGCAAAGATAAGTATGAAAATCAGAAATAAGTGTGAGATTATTTAGAAAATAAAACAAACATTTAACTATTTTTTATATAATGATAGGTAGATTCATCTCTATATAGGCTTTCAAATATCTGTATAGGCTTTCTTTTTTTCTGTATTAATTTTCTTCTATTGAAAGATCTAGATCACACTTGCAATATAATAAATCCTTTTGTTAAGGAACGTAATATTTCTTATCATTTCCGATGACCGTCGCCACGTCGCTCAGATATAAGGCAAAGGGACCCTTAAACGATAAGTCGAAATCTGTCAGGCGAGCGATGTCAAGTAACGTCCCGTTCCACACTCGCAATATAAATTATTGTGTCACATCAACTACTAGTACGTGGGCAATCGAGCGTTTTTCCGGTTTGCCGTGGTAATATGATAACTTTCCACGGGAGAAGTTAATTATGTTCATTTTTAATAATAATCATTTGAATATATATCATAACATGTACAGTGCTATCTTTACTTAATTTCATGTAGTGTCCTTTGTTGTTGAGAGCTAATAACATAGCAACAAAGTAATTACCTCAAAATTTTAATGTCGTTAAATGAAGAAAGTTCTAAAATTTCCTTTTATCTTGTTTTTCTGGGGAACTAGGGAACAGTTCTATTTAGTTAACTTCGTTCAACAATTATTAACAAAAAAATATAAACTCCTAAGCATTCAAGCAACAATTATTAACAAAAAAATATTAACTCCTAAGCATTCAAGACAAAAATTAATTAAAATCTAATGATCTTAACTGAAGCATATCATTGTAATATTATAAATTTCATAACCTGTCTTCGAATTTAATCAAGGTGTAGCGCGATAATGACAACCGACAGATGAGCATATGTCAGCGTCCCGATTAGTTACTGCAACCTTAACGTCAAAGAAATTGGTCGTACGTAATCCCGGGCTTTCAATTGATCATGGATAAGCTCACTGCCGGATGGACTGTTTACGATACGTGTGAATTCACGTTTTCTTATAGACCATTTTACACTGTAGGTATTAGATTACATTGTCGGCAATGATCGATAGTTTATTTCGAAGATTTCGCTTGATGATTCGCATGAATGTTAGACTTTTTAATAGGTATCTCTTTAGACGGGATAGAAAAGGAATTTGAATGGTTGTCCGTCACAGATTCTGAAATCAGTGAGCGTTTAATATAGATGCATATATTGTTAGCCAGTAGCTTATGCGATGCAGGTATTACATAATACGGAGTTTAAAAAGGAATTATTTGGACTGTTGGAACGTCATATTTCACAGAATATTTTAAATATGTAATAAGGAATAAGCAAATGCTGAAAATATTTCGTCGCACGAAAGAGGTACGAGATTCAAAATATGCAAATTATCTTTTGTGGCCTCTGATAAAAGTGCAATAGTAGTAATATAAGTAAGTAATAAACAATAAATTTACAATAAACGTACAATATTACTGGTATATTGAGCGTCACCCCACAACATCACAACCATTAGGTCAACTTTATGGTTGTGATGTTTTCATAGTTCCTAACGACAAGTCTCATAAAACTTTTCATCCACTTTTTTTAGGAAGGTTTCTCATAGAAATGATTATTGAATTGCAATCGATTCTCGTGTTATTCTCACCCTGGAGATAGATTCCTTTTCTCAATGGTTTCCTGGACGATTTTTTTTCTGTAGACAAAAGCGTACTCACAAACTTTCGAATTTAATAATTAGTATTTGGAATACCATCTATTCACAGATGACAGGACAATGTAATGTAAAATGAATGACTTGAAAATGTTAAAAATAGAATCCTTTAAATACATTTTGCGATCTATACCTCAAAGCGAGTTGTAAATTAATTATAATTGAATAACGAAACTATTAGAATGATTCAGCGATATCTTTTTTAGAATCTGTTATAGAATTGCCATTTTATGAGGGATAATCGATATTTTTTTAGTAAAATCGATATAAATTTTGAAAGCACAAAATATTTCTTTAAAATGTTTGGATATCCTAGTTTGTAAACTGAAATAAATGCAGTTGTAATGAATGAAAATGCATATTATTAAAAATCTGTACATGTAAATTTGTCTATATATTGAAGACAAAAGTAAGCAAAAGTGCGAGGGGACAATGAGAAAAAATATAATGTAAGAG